CTCTCTCTCTCTCTCTCTCTCTCTCTCACACACACACACACACAGAGCCTTTCAAAGCCCTCAATCTCAGACACACACACATATGATGAAGCGTTCATAAAAACAAGCGTGTCTTCATATGGTTAACACACACACACTCCCTGGTGAGCGTGGGCCACACAGACAGCTTGTCATCCCAACATGTGACAAGCAGCTTCTGTCGATATGAAACCAGACCGAAGTCAAATGGATCCTCGTATCTCCACGTGGGATTTGAGAGGCAGCTGGCCGTGATACGTTAAACCAAACTCAGCGCTACACCCACCCTGCTTTCATGCCCCCCGTGCCCTGACCCCGTCCTCTGATGGTAATCAATGTAACATCATCTGTTAAGACAAAACTCCCATTAGGAAAGCTAAGTGCTGGTATGTTCAGGCATGTTTCAAGCATTTCAGAGTTCAGTCCTAACGGGCCAAATATTCCTATATTTGTGAATACTTTGTCCTAAGTTTAGGAATAAAAGCTTTTTTATCAACTTTCGTATCCTGGGAGTTGACTCTCATCTATGCATATGACGTCTACATTAAGGGTCTAACACAGTCACAGGACTATCGTGAGGCTCTAGCTACACCATCACATCTATGAGAGGGATGGACAACGAAAGACTCACACACAGATCTCTGCTCACTCTTCAACTACTCGGTCTTAGTCTGAGGTAACGCTAGTGAGCTAGCAATGGAATAATCTGGTGTTGTTTTTTAAGAGATGGTGGCGGAATGATGTTTCAATTGTGTTTGTCTTTCTCTATTTTTCAGGGGAAAGAATGTGAATCGTGTTGAAGCTTGAAAGAACTTAATTCAATTCTTTACCCGCTTCAGCCGAGCCTAGTCAGAGGACAGAGAAACACGGAAATCATCACTGTTGCAAAGATTTTTGAAATCAGGCGGAAAAGCAGTCTTTTAAAGTTTCATATATATTGTTTTTAACTGTTGATTGGACACTAGAAGATTTTATAGATCAGAAAATACACGACTGTTGATGGCAGGCGGAGTGCTTTGCGGTGGATTGTCCCTTTAAAAGGTGGATCCCATGGGAGCAGATTCACAGACATCATCAGCACGTTTAGGTGATCGAGACAAACAGAGAAAAAGCAGATGTGGTGGCTGTATGGGGAGTAAGAGGAGCTGATCACTCACTCACTCTCTCTCTCTCTCACACACACACACACACACACACACACACACACACACACACACACACACACACACACACACACACACACACACACACACACACACACACAGTGAGTGTGTTGGCTGTACTCAAGACCCCCTGGGACGGACTGCTTCACCAGCTGTGTTCTGACACACAGGAACACTGAGGGCCCGGGGTCAACACACACACACACACACGCACATGTCAGATCACATATGCACATTCAACTGTCTCTGGATGAGAAACAAACAAACAAACTAATGGCTATGCACACAAACACTGCGCTGACACAAAACCTAAAATAAATAACAATATTCAATAAATTGTTGTATTTTTTTGACCTCCACGCTTTCGTGTATTCACCCTCCTTTTGTCTGAACGCGGAGCCAGTTAGAAATTTCAAATCTAAAATAAACTCTCTGCTTCTACACCCGTGCACACACACACACAGTTTGGTTTTTATCTAAATGAAGAGGAGGAGAGAAGCAGGAAGAGGAGGAGGAGGTGTGTTTAGTCGTCTGTGGAACAGACACTTGACCTGGTTTCTCAGTGCTGCTCTGGGCCGAAAAACAGCTGGAGACACACAGAAATAAACATAGTACTACAATACACTAGAGAGCTGGGAAATAATTAAATACTA